CTGGTGCGCAGGGGAGGCGGCGGCGGCTCCGAGGGAGGGAGCTGCAGCATCCTGCGCTCTGATTGGCCGCCCGTGCGCGCTCTGCCCTGATTGGCCCGCCTAGGGGCCGGAGTGCTGGCTGCGGAAGCGGTGCTGGCGGGGGGCCGTGGCCGCCCGTGCGCGCTCTGCCCTGATTGGCCCGCCTAGGGGCCGGAGTGCTGGCTGCGGAAGCGGTGCTGGCGGGGGGCCGGGGGCGGGGGGGCCGGAAAGTGCTGTGGGCCAGTGTTGGGGCCACCTTTGGGCAGACAAGGGCTTATGCCAGCACCTCAGCAAGGTGACACTGTGCTGTGACCCTGCCCTAGACCCTGGCCAGCATAGTAAGCGCTGAGTAGTGATGTCGGGTGCCTAAGCGCGAGCTCTGGAAGAGCTCCGAATTGCAGAAAATGTGGAAAACCCTGCACCTGTGAGACGACTGTCACAGCGCTTTAGGGTGCTTCATGGCAGGCACTCAAACCCACAGGCCCGTCGGGAAAGCTCTGCCCCTGCCCCCACGTTGCGAAGATGAAGATAAAGACATGAACTTCCCGAGCACAAACCTGCATTTCTATGCTAACACCGAGAACCGCTCAACAACCCAACCACGGAAAACCTACACACTGCCTTCAGCTGCATCTATTCTGATCCACTGCTTAACTAGCGAAGCCAGACAACCTGCAAAACCCTTCACTGCTGCGTATCAAAATGCACAACTGGCACAAAGCCTCAACCTCCCTGCACACAACTGGGGCCAACCCAAGACCGAGTGCACGGTGCAACTTGAAGCATGCGGCTGCTTGCTCCAAGGGTGCTTGAAAGCGTAGACATGCACACCAGTCCCCATCTGCATTTACCCAAGGCCACATTAAACATTTTGCTCCCTCCCTCCTGCCCACCCCAACCCACACTTCTTGGTCCCCAGCTTTCTTTTCCTGCTTCCGTTCCTTCTTCTGCAGCTGCCCTTCAGGGACCTGCAAGAGTACACAAAACAGAACTGGAGTTGGCTGGCAGTGAATCCCACACCCCAGAAAAAATAGTGTAAAAAGTATCTCCCAGTGCCCATCGTACTCTTGAGCTTGGTGTCCTTTAAGAACAAGGGAGATGCGAGATACCTCCGGTTTACTAAAAGAGGACAAGTACCGCCCTAGCAGTTACCCGTGTCTGACAGCAGCAGGACCCAACACAGAAATCCTGTGTGTGCAGCTGCCCCAGTGCTCCCACCTTCCGCAAGGCACTAATCACAAGATTGACAACTTGGGGATGCAACCTGCAGAGAGGACAGACACCGTGTCCAAACTCCTGTACCTTTCCCTCCTGCTGGGCGGGCAGGGGTTCCTTTCTTCCTCAGTTGGTTGTCTGCTGTCTGGTCTGCTGCTTCTTCTGGGGGCTTAGAAAAAGACAGACACTGGATTTAAGTCAGCATGTCAGCGGACCAGACTACGGGCCAAAATTTCTCTCCCTGTCTTACTCTTACCCAGACCCACGGTCACTCTGTCCTCTGTCCGTGGAAGGTGGGAAGGGCACATGTCTGCAGGCTTGGCAGCTGACATCCGGGCCAGCCAGAAGGAGAGTGCGATGGACCCGGACTCTGGACAGAACTGCTAGGGCGGCACCATGAACGGTGACCACAAACACCGGAAATCCTGCTGACAGGGCAGTGCTCCCTGCACACAGCTGGCAGCCGGGGCATGAAGCCCAGAGACAACCTGCAAAGTCCTGAATGCCAGCTGACAGGTGCCCCAGGCAGTCTCAATCAGAGGTCAAAGCTGCCCCGTGGACAGAAGGGCCAGACAGGACAGAAGGGCCACGACTTCAGCCTCCCGCCACGGAAGCCACAGAGCCCAACGGGCTAAAGGGGTGGGGGTGCAGCCCTGTTTACAGGGTGCAGGGGGGGCATCTCATAGTGCCAGGAGCAGCAGAACAGAGGAGCAGAGACCTGGACCTGAGTTACAGGAAGGTCACTAAGCCTCGGGGTCCCAACGCACTCAGTATCCTCCAGAAGCCTGCAACCTTCCCTGTACTGAGTATCATCTCCAGCCAACCTCAGCAAGTGGAACGAGACCCGACCCGGAGAATCAAGAGGACCTGGACCCTGCTCACGGGCCAGGGGCAGGGGCGCAGAACGGCTGGCCAAGCGCCAGGGCACTCGTCTCCAGGGCCTTGGGTGGGGAATACATGGCCTGCCCTCAAGGAGGGCAGTAAATCACACATGTAAGGTACCAAGTGGCCCAAAGAAGCCAAAAAGAAGGGGCACAAGACCTGTACCCTGAGATACAAGGGGGGTCACATGCTGAAGGGTAGTCAGCGGGCGGGGGTGGGGAGGGCAAACGCCGTCCCGAGGCCAAAATACACAGAAATGTATACCAGTGCTTATCCCCCTAGGTATGGAGGTGGGAGGAGAAGGCTACGAGGACGCATCTCGCCCCTTTCCAGCACTGGGAAGAAAAGAAAGTACGCTGCAGTGGTTTGAACAACAAAAAGAAAATAAAAAACGCTCTCATTCCCAGGTGCTCCTCTCTCTCTCTCTCTCTCTCTCTCTCTCTCTCTCACTCTCCACACACTGACAAGGGAAAAACTGTTCCCAGGCCAGAAAGGAGCTCCATGGTGCAAACCGCTTCACCTCGAGCCTTACACTAGAAAATCCTCCTCCGCTCCCAGGGGGCAAGACGGCTGAGACCAGCACCCTCCTTACAGGGTACGGCCCGCCTGAGCAGCCAGGCTACCCACAGCGGGCAAAAGGGAAGGCCCAGAGCCCTGCTGACAGGGAGGGCCCACAGCCAGCCAAAGGACACAGCTGTCCCCAGAGGCAGAGAGACGTGCATCCTGCTTACCGGGTGGTCCACAGCTCTACAGTACCTAGCCCTCCACCAAAAGACACGGGACTCGCACCCTCATTACAGGGCATGGTCCCTTTGACCAGGCAGACTGCCCGCGGGGAGTAAAAGGGAAAGGCCCAGAGCCCTGGTTTCATGGAGGGCCTACAGCCAGCCAAAGCACACAGCTTTCTCCAGAGCCACATTGAGACCTGGACACTGCTTACAGGGAGGTCCACAGCTCTGCAGAGCCTAGCCCTCCAGGAAGAGACATGGGACTCGCACCCTCATTACAGGGCGGCCCAGCCATCTGGATGAGGAGTGCCAGGCACAGATGCAGGAAGAAGGACGGGTGCCTGGACACAGCGATCGGAGAGGAGGCCGCAAGCTTCAACCAAGCTTCAACCCATCCACGAGAGGGTCATCAAGCTCTGGGATCTAAGGAGTTTGCTGTCACCAACGAGACTCGGCTCCTGTCTGCAAGGCCATCGTTCTGCACAGTGCTGCAGGTTGCTCCGGCTCTCCGGCCAGCGGAAGGTTATGCCCACCCTGCTTACAGGGGCACCTCTCCAACTGGCTGGGAATAACAGTGGACTCGGTCTGCTAATTAGGGGACATCAGCGCTATGGACATGCAAATCGCCTGTCATTCGTGCTCAGTAAGAGGCACCGTGTCTGGCAGCTGGCCTGGACCCCGATAGCAGGGCAGCTGCACTGCACAAGACCACCAACCAGATCCGCAGCCTTTACAAACGAGGTGGCGGTGACACACGCCTTGCTTACAGGGTTGTCCACCTTCCGCCCGACTGCTGCAGAAACGCAAAATTTGGCCAATACACGATTGAGACCTAAAGGCAGGGAGGTCACTCTGTCCAGAGTCCCTTTCCTTTGCGTCCCATTTTGCTGGCTTTTCACCGGTCACAGTTTGTCCGCTGCTTGTCCTACTGGCAGCTGCAAGAAGGAAAGAGAAAAACAGTAAGAACCCACCCACAGAAAAAAAACACGGAGAGATGGTCCGAGTGTAAGGTATGAAGCCAGAGACTAAGACAGCAAGTTGTAACGTCTCTCTGTTTGGTCCGTCCCTGTAACCCCTGTTGATCTGTCTTCTCTTTGACAGAGGGGCGAGCAGGAATCGCCTTGTTCAGCTTCCCAATGTGCGGGCCGGGAGCGGTCCCAGGTTCTCGCGGGCTTTCGCGGCGGGCTGTGGCCAGCAGCCCTGGCACGTGGGTCAGGGAATGCAGGCCGGTGGACTAGAATTAGGCACGGACGCTTAGCGGTTGATTAAAGATTATTTTACTTACACCGAAGATGGTCACGGTGCAGGCAGGAAAACTTGCTTGAGTTGCGGTTACAGACAGAAAAGAAGAGAGGCGGACAAGAGTTCCTTCCACGTGAACCTCTAGCCCAATCTGGTTGAAGGCTCTAAACACGCGAGCCCGTTGTGTCAACCGAAGAAAACAACTTGAAGCGGAGAGCTCTGGATACACTCACACAAAGTTTGCTAGGCTCCGTGGAACTTGCACGCAGGGAAGGGTATGTCAAGGGATCGTTCGGCGACGGGGAGAGGCCAGAGGTTGATCAGACCCCTGTAGCCTTCTTGAGATACACGCTGGGTTCGATAGGCTCCGCAGCGCTTAGAGATCTTCACGAGATGTGAAGTTCTCCTCCTCCAGATGGTTGTGGAGTCCTCCAACTTGGGCGGAAACCGCTCAAGCCTCTTATATGGCTAGCAAGCCAATCGCTAGCTGCCACGTGGGAATAATTTAGAGCTGGCCAATAGTGGGACACAAATTTGCATGCGAATGGCGGGAACTCCTTGCACCGTGCATTTCTCTTTTGCAACTAAGAAATGCACCCTGCAAAGAAAGCTCCGAGTGGCAGGAAATAATTTAGCAGTGCCGAAGCACACACAAACAAAAATCACACCCTTGGGTTGTGACACCCAAGACAGGGTCAGTTGGACATGGAAAGCCACGGGCCATGAGCCTACAAACCCAAATCGTACCATGGCACGATATACGGCACCAGACGGCACCTGGAATCCTACGCACGGGTTGGTGCCCCCTGCCACCCACCAGCTTCCGTGACACAAGGCCAAGCAAAAAATGGTTGCTCAGGTGACACGGTTCAAGAAAGCAGCCCCATACCTGGAGGACAACGGGCAGAAACTACAGCTTTCCTGACAGGGAAAGCAAACCTCTCAAAAGGACCAAAAAAAAAAAAAAAAAAAGGTTCAAAACACCTGCACTCAAGTGGGCGATGTAACTAAACCCCAGATAACCACAGTGAGCGGGGTGCCCACTTCTGGCTGCCACAGACTCGAAGCCAAGTGACAGCAAGCTCACAATGCCCCCTGTCCTAAACAGCTTGCTGCCTTTGAAAAGAAGGCAGACATGATATACCTCTGGTTCACAGGATCCTCACTGCTCCACCTAAAACGTATCTGCGTATGACACCATCAGAAGCTAAGAGACAAATCCTGCTTAAAAGAAGGTGCCAGCGATCCAGCCTTGTAAGGCCCCCTGATCCCAAGGTCTACAGCTTGGCAGTGGAACCACAAAATAAACAAGTCACCGCTAGAAAACTCCCTTACCTTTCCTGGGCTGGCATGGTTTTCTTCCCTCCTGGTCAGCTGACTCGCACTTGTGTGTCTTCTTTCCTGCTTGTCCTACCAGGGCCTATAAGAAACAGACAGACGCTGCATTTAACTCACCATGTTGGAAGACAAGTCTGTGGGCCACAACTTCTCTCCCTCTTTAACCCATACCTCCATCTGCTGCCAATCTGTCCTCTATCCGTGGAGATGGGGGAGGGCAGACATCTGCGGGCTCGGCTGCCGACATCCGGGCCAGCCAGGAGCAGAGTGCGAAGGCCGGGACTCTGGACAGAAGTGCTAGGGCGGCACCATGAATGGTGACCACTGACACCAGAAACCCTGTTTACAGGACGGTGCTCCCTGCACACAGCTGGCTGCTGGGGCATGAAGCCCAGAGAAAACCTGCGAAGTCCTGAATGCCAGCTGACAGGTGCCTCAGGCGGTCTCCTGAGGAGGGGTCAAAGCTGCCCCGTGTCTGGAGGACAAGGGGGCTGCAACGTTAGCCTCCTGTCACAGAAGCCACAGCTCCCAAGGGAGTAAAAAGAGGCCTCAGACCCCAAGCCGAGGTCGGGGGTGAGCAATCCCTGCTTACAGTGGGGAAAGGCGGGAGCTTTTGAAAAGCAGCGAGGGAAGCAGAGAAGAGTCTAGAGACCTGCGCCCAAGTTACAGGAAGGTCACGGCCCTCAAGGAACCAGCGTCCCCCGTGCAGCACAAACAGGGGGAAAGAGAGACGCGCGCCCCGCTTACAAGAGGGTCTCTCCCCCACCAGCCAGCTACGGCAGTGCTCTCACATACTTTCTGTGCGGCAGCTACAATGTACAAGGCGCCGCGCAGCTCAGTCTCGCCCGCCTCAGGCCAGAAAGCAGCAGGCCCCCTTTTAACAAGGTGGCTGCTCCATCAGCACCCAGCTGCAGCAGCAGGCCCCGATGCCTGACACGCCCCTCATGTATCTAGTACCTGTCCATATACACATGTACTGAGACGCAAACATAATAGTATTTGAATACCTAAAGCGATTTCCCTTATTTCAGAGAGAGAGAGACAAGGCAGTAGGATCTCTATGTCTCTTATGGCACGGATTCTGCACACACATTATATGCACATCTGTGTGTACACACATAATTATTAGACGCATCTCTGTACAGTTTCAAGTTCATCAAAGTAACTACACAATGAAGACCACTGCCACTTCCATCCCTCCTTCTCCGTATTTTATTATTTTACACCAAGAATACCAGACTCCGGACTCGAACTGAAGAGAGGTCTTGCAGTGTTTACTAAGCCACAGGGTTTTCTTCCCTTTTCTCTTAAAAAAATGGTTAAATCCGCGCAAATATAGCTAGCAACGATATCCCTCAGGACAGAGCCACGCGGGCCCGGGCCCGGGCCCTGGGCAAAGGGGGCTCGGGCAAAGGGGGCCGCACCCTGGGCCGGGCTGGGCTCGAGTCCCAACGCGCATGCGCGCTGGGAACAGACACAACAGGTTTCACCAGTCTGGTCATTAATCGGGCGGGGAAGCAGGGACGCTCCCTCCCCTGTCACTCCGGGCCCGCAACCGTCGCTACGAGGAGCACGGAGCTGGTGTGCAGGAAAGCGGCCGGGGCGTTAAACCAACGCGGTGAGGAGGTAGCATTAAATCACTGCGCATGAGTAGAACTGTTGGATGACGATGACGTCGATGAGCCGCCATTTGCCCGCATGCGCACTTGGGTACGGCTGAGCGCCGCGTTTGCCCATCAATTGGCAAGGCAAGTTCGCATGCGCATCACTGACAGGCTGATCAGCTGAACGCCGAATTTATCGACACTAGGTTAGTGCGCATGCGCAGCGGCCGCAGTGCCGCCTCATCAATCGCCGATCCTGTGGCCTGGAGCCTGCGTCTTGCGGATCAGGTGCCTCCGCTCCCGCCTGAGCTCGGCGCGCGCGGGGGCCGGACGGGCCTGCTCCGGGGCCGGAAAACCGCCTTGAACAGAAGGCGCCCCTGAGTGTCCCGCTCCGGCCGTTCCCAGCCCCGTGCTCGACCCCTGCTCCCGCCGCCCACCCACGATTTGGCGGGCGGGCAGCAGACCAGCCCGGGGGCATTGGCGTCTCCGGAGCCGGCCGCTTCGTCCGCCTGCGGGTCACCGCCCTCCGCCACGCCTTGGTTTCGTGGAAAACTTTGGCTGCAAATTAGACAGTTGCTCGTTTCCATGTCTCGTGTGTCCAACCCATTCTCAGACCTCTTATTTTATCATGGGAAATTGTCCTCAATGGCCAGAGGAAGGCTTCGCCTGTATCACGTTATCAAACCTCTGTTGGAAGTGGTGCACAGACCGCAATATAAGTTTGATCCAAAGCCCCCACAGCCCTTTCCCAGGTAGGCAGGGAGAAGGGTGGAATGAGAGTGTTAAAAGAGGAGTGTAAAGTGGCAGGGGGAGAGGCACCCCCTTACAACTTTTAGGCCATAGTGGACAAGCTGTGGCAGTGAAATGTCCTGCAATGGATTTGTCATCAAAGAAATCTCAGTTCTGTAACAGACAAAAACGAGCTGCAGCCCTGTAGCGGATGGGGACGGGATCAGAGTATAATGGGCTGAAGCGCACTGGCCTGGCAAAAAACAGAAGGGAGAACAAAAAAGGTGGTAAAATTGAACTGACAACTCTGGACCAAAGGCTGAAGGAAAGGAGCTACTGCTCAGCCAACTTGATCCGTTATTTACTATGCATGCATAGTCCCATGTTAGCTAGGGTCAGTGGGGCGATATGGAAGAACATCTCTCCCCTAGGTGCCCCACTCCTCCCCTTTCAGTCACAGCTCAATTAATTGTGGATATCTGTTACGCTCCTGTTGTCCAGAAATATTAGCAAAGGCCTCAAATTCTTGGCTGCATGTTCGTACATATTGCTTCTGATGTGCTGCGATGACCATTTCTATTGTAAGATTTTTTCCTATGGTGGAAGTTCCTCTGCAATTCTTACAAAACCCAGTAACTGCTCTTTTGAATGGCACAGCAACAGGCACAATTCCAACTTTCCCATTCCAGAGCAGTTCCTATCCCAGGTCAGTTGCCATCTTGTAAAGATGATGCTGGGGCGGGGAATTCTAGACCAATCCCAGGCAACCTGGTCTTCCTCAATGCCTCTAGTAATCCCTCCCCCAGCATAGCCTACTTTGGTGTCTCCCTATTTCTACATCCTGAACAGAACAGAAGCTTCACATCAAATCATTAATCCCAGAAGACACTCCTGGTCTCCTAAAGATCTGTTTAGATTTGGCCTGGACATTCATGCCAGAAAGTTTCCCCAGATGACTACCTGGTTTTGGGGTTTCTGACTCTCAGCACCATTACCTCAACTTGTATACAGCAGAGTAGCAAGAGTCAGAACTGCTGGAGAAAGAGCCAATATATCAGGTTCCTTGTTACAAAACAGGAAATAACTCGCTCTCACAGAAAAGAAATAAGCCCCAACTCTTCTTGCTGCAATAGATTTAGAGGTAAAATAACCATCTACCTCACACCTCACCCTTCTGAGCATGCTGCTGGCCTTTGCTGTAGAGAACTTAGGGAACATGGCAACTGTGCACAGCGCCACGCTCCTGCATTCTTTACAACCACACAACGCTTTCCTTGGGGCACCCCTCCCAACCACCGTCTTCCTAGGTAAGAGACAGCCCACTCATACAATGAACACCTGTTGGTCCACACAAATGCAGCAGACACCCATGTTAGTGCACATCTATGGATCAATTCAGCATTCCATGATATCACAGACCTGAGGTAAGCCCAGCAACAGGAGAGCAACTACTGTGGCTATGACATGATTTTTCAAAGAACCCAGCAGACAGTTTCTTTCATAGTGGTTAGTTTCCCTCTTCTGTTAGAAACCCTTTCAGTTAAAGACATTTTCCCAAACTTCTCTCCGAAAGTCACAGTTCAAAGAGTGCAACTGGATTATGGAAGTCTAACTCCTGCCCTTGAAACTTTCCACCAAGCAGAGACACTGAACTGTCCCATCTCAGTCAGGTCATAAATATTGCAAGTGTAGGGTTCATCATCAGCCACAGTTGAACCTCTTTATCCTCAAAATTATGAAAAGGAGTCTCTTCTCCACATAGTTAACTCCCTTAGTTCTTGATTTTTTAGCACAAAAGCAGTCATCTTCAGGGTATTTCCCTTTACAGCAAACTGTCTGAAGAAGTCAGAGGCATGTTGCCACCATGAGAATGTGGAGTTATTTCAACAGCGTCTCAAACTGTCAGACTGTTAAGCATGCCCCTGTGTTCCTGCAAGAGGAAGATGGTTTCCGATGTCCAGAGGAGACAGAACCCAGGTAGCTCAGCCTTAACTCTGGGTTCAGAACACTCTTCTCCCCAACCAATAGAAAGCACCAGGGCAGGGGAGGTCTCTCTTCACTGGAGGGTGGAAGGATTGTGATCACTCACACCAGGGGTGGGAAAGATGGATCAGAAGAGAGGATCCCATGCAGTACTTCAGACTGGCTCATACTTCCCTCAGTTCTCACCCATTGCTGTTGTGCTGCCATTGGCTTTGGGTTTTGATTTAGACTTGAAAGAGAAACGCTTAATGAGACGGCGAGAAAAACTCCCCGCTTTCTTCCTAGCAGCAGAGCTGGTGCTGGCATTGGAGAGGTCATCATGCGATTGGCTCAAACCAGCTTCCTTCTGTTTGTTCTTCCTCCGGAAGATGAGTTTGGTACCACTTCGAAGAAAGCTGACTGCAGAAAGGGAACACACAAGTCAATGGCAAAGCTGGGAATAAAGCCAACTCCAAGCCCAAACTCCAGCCAGCAGACCATGTTTCCTTCCTGGCGTCACAGCCTAACAGCATACCCAGGCACATACTCTCCGAATTCTAGAGCTTCCCACAGTGCAAGGCCTCACCTTCCCTAAGGAACTCCTTCTTCCCCAAGTCTTTCTACTCCACTAGGTTTTAGGCTGGGAATTTAACCCGTCAAAAAACAAGCGAACAAACAAAGAAAACAACCACTTCAGTCAACTGACACGTCTGAAAATGGTCATATACTTTAAGCATTACTTTACTGGAACAGTGAAGAGAGTTTAAGTGCTTACATCAATTATAAAACAAAGTTAACTATCATCATAAAACAGCAATATTAAATTCTAAGAAGTTCCAATTAATTTTTATGACTATCAAATGTTAAATAAGTATAGATGTGAATAATATGCAAGACTGAACAGTTCTTTTCCTTGGCTTTTATTCCAAAAACCCACAGTCACCTCAGACACTTACAAAAAAAGTTAAACCGAAGTAAAACACTGGGGTCTGCTGAAAGTTATCTGCAGACTGAGGCAGATTTCACTACAGTCACTATTATATCACATGTTCAAATTTTCCTTCACAATTACAGGTACTTTTTCTGTTTGTTGGGGGGGGGGGGGGGGGGGGGTGGTTAATGAAATCTGATTTCCTTAGGATTGCAGGCAGGGGCTTTTGGCATGTCTATGGCTTATTCATTAAATCAAGTCCTGTTTATGAATTATTTGAACCTCATTTAGCGTAAGAGAGCCCAGCTGAGTACACACTTATATTCTGAGCTGCCACACAATCTGCTGGAAGTAAGACCTTGGCTCATGTATGGAGTTAAGGAAAGTACTACCATTTCGTTTCCCATCTGAACTCTATGGATGGTACTACTGGTACCTTCCACCAAGGAATGGCACGGGAGGCAGGGGTGTTTGGGTAGAGCTCAATAATTTAATATCCCATTTCCTTCCTAGCTTTTCACACAGTCTCTGCTTCCTTGGTCAAGGCCACAAACCCCCCTCTTTGGCACGGACCACAACGTCATGCTGAGCCATACATCTACACCCACTGGGAATAGACAAGACCCCTTCCTTTCCATTACAAAAAATCCTTTTCCCAACACTCGGCTGAAGTTCCCTTCTTTAGTTTCATCCCATTGCTCTTCTGCCTGTCATGATACTCCTGAGCAAGTTATGACCTCAGGACTACTTAGGGCAGGGTTCTCAACTGGTACTTGGGAAGCCCCCAGGGTACACGTGGCAGTGCAACAGAGAAGCTGGGGGCACTTCCAGTTTCGCCGGCAGCACTTCTGATTTTGCCACCGCAGCGTCTTGTTTTGCCGCAGTGGATCCCCCCCGCCCCCTCCACCTGCCAACACCTGCCAATGAGGAACCCCTCCCCTGCCCCCACCACCCACTTGTCCACCGGCCAGGCGACTCCCTGCTTCTGGGCTGGCCGCTGAGGGTACCTCAACCAAAACAGGTTGAAAGCCCCTGTGCCTTAGGGTATATTGTGCAGTACAGTTAGCATCCCCAGAATTAAGGACATCTCTTTGGCGACAGGCAGGCCTCGCTGCCAAACAGCAATGAGGGGTGGGGCTGCCACCTTAGCCAACCAGCCGCAAGAGGTGGAGCCACCCTGGCTGGCTAGGACCCTGGTCCTCCTGGCTGTGCACAGCCCACAGAATTGCGAGGGCAAATAATATTAACATGTAAAATTGCCACCAACTGAAAAACAGGACTTTTGCCATCCATTCCTCATTCAGAAGCCAAGAGGAGACAAAGGGTTTAAAACAGGATAGTCCAGAATAAAACAGGACCAATGACCACCCTAAATACACCGCCCTATGAACACCCCGCTCCCAACTAGCTCTGGAACTGGAAGCACTACCACTTAGTTTTGAAGCTAGCACAGGGATATGCACTTGCATTTCCATACTTACCTGGCAGCAGAAATACCACGACCACTAAAGCGGTTTTTCTAGTCGCTCAGGATAACTGCTTTTCTGACACGGGATAGTACCCGTGGAGGTAACATGTAGTTAACCTCCTATGTTCATTTCCCATGGGAAGATCTTGGCTTTATGCCCACTTTATCAAAATGGGAGACTCCTCTCTAGCTTACTCCTGTGGCCATATGGCTGAGGGTGAGCAGAACTTGGGGGCATCTGAACCCCAAGCCTCTGAGCTTGGTCCTGCACACAGGATGCCTGCCAAATGATTTGGAAGCATCTGAAGCCCCAGGTGGGGGTGGAGGATGTTTGCTGGTAGTAAGGTCACATATGGTTCTCGAATGACTCATGGATTTGGAATTGATTTGGCTTGGGACAATCAAAAAAACAAAACCCCCCGCCATCAATAATTTTTTTTTTTTTTTTAATCTGCACTTGCGTTTCCATGCAGCACGAAGCTGACTTCATTCGGCCTCTAGAGCTCAAAAACAAAAAAATGCAACATGCCATTTATAGACTATTGCATCTCTCCATCAGTAAGTATTTCACCTACACAGACAAGTTTTGTTTCATTAGGCAAACTACATTACTATCTTGCATCACACAACTAGTAGTTTCACCAACTCCCAACTCTTAATTCACAAAAGCTCTGTCGCAAGGTCTCCATCAGCTGCCCCATTGCTTTTAGCAGTTATGATATTGGACACTTGGTAAAATAAGTCTTAAAACTGACTTCACATTTGCCTTGTATTTGACACTGCAACTTGCTTGCTCCTTTTATTTGCACACCTACTTGGGAGAACACTCCAGTCCAAGTCCCATTCCTGCAATTTGTGCTGCTAACACAGGTTGGCTGTTCGCTAGAAAGCGACTGCTTTGACATATCTTCCAGACGTAATCACAAACATGTTGCCTAAAGCACATCATCTTGTAGCTTAGCAAAACAGATAAGGAATGAAGTTACCATCACCCACTGCACAAGCGGACACTTACTCAGCCACGAGACGTGACCATCACCCTAGACTCAGGTCTGTAAGGCTGACTGGCTCATGTTCCAAGCAACACTGGTCCTCACCTTTGTGGTCCTTTAAGCTCCTGGTCTCAAGGGCTCCAGTGGAGCCAGTTTCAGACTCAACATCTTCCACGGACAGTCTTTCAGAGATGTCCGATCGTGTTGTTTCGTCCAGCTCCTGACTGGACCTCTGTCCTGAGAAGGATGCTTCGAGCAACTGGGATGGCTCAGCAGAGGTCTGCATCTGCTCAGAAGTGCCAGACACCACAGAGTCCCCATGCACTGTTGCCTCCATAGATGCAGCATAGCCAAGAGAAAGTGCCATTTCATCCTGAGCAATTGGTACCTGAAGGAGATTTAAAGGTCAAACAAGGAACCCATTAATTAAAGTCACATTTACAACTTTCCTCTCACGTGGCTACCTCTTCCCCTTCCTGTTTTCAGACAACACAGATGTTTTCTTGCTGAGTCTCTGAGCTGGAGGACAAGAAGTCTGTTTTGGGACAAGATTTAAGGTTGTGCCTCAAATGGTTAAACTGCCCCTTGAGAGCAAAAATCAGTTGCAATTCATGAGGCTTAGGATGCTTTTGGGGGAGACTTCAGACTCTTAAGGAGATTCCTTTACACGTGTCCTAGACCTAAGGGTCTCTGCGGGACGGAACATGTCATTATACACAGTCATCAGGCAGTTTTTCAGCAGAGCTCCCAAACTACTAGTTACCTTGGAAACTCCTGATATAATCAATGTGCTGCGTTTAGTCGGGGTTTTCTTGACAGATTTGTTGTTTGTTTCCGTCAACTGCCTGATCGCTGTCTCTGCCACAGGATCCAAGCCATTGGACATATGACTCTCCCCTATTCACAAAAAAGGCATCCCTGAGCAGACAAATCACTTGCAGACCACAACTTCTTTTAACATGGATCCAGATAAGGGTGGGGTGTAGTTCTTTGCTGAAATAACTCTACTGACCCAAAAGCAGAATGTCTTGGAGAAGTCAATAAGTGAATGGAGATTTAAAGCCACAGTCTCAAGCCACTTGCAAGCATTAATAATATTGCCACATTTATAAATTAGGTCTGTAATGCTAACTTCCTGGCAACATTCCAATTCTGATCATTTTATTTGGACAGTATCTCATTTCAGGCAGTTTCAGGATGTCAGTTTCAATTCTGGTCCTGAACTCCCAACTAATTTCCATCATGCCCTGCTTAACGGAATATGTTCTAGCCAAGGGCTCAGAAGCAACTCACCAATACAAAACTTGTGAAGCCCTCCAGGGTGAGATACCTTATGGATATGCCAGATGGGCAACAAGGAACTTAAGAGTTGACAACAAAGTTAACTTCTCCATCCTCACCATCTTCCTCCCCGCCCCTCCCCCAGTATCTTGAAGTACCGTTTGAAGCAAAGGACAGTAAGCAGAGAGACAGTTAGCCATGTTAGCTTCAAGTCAAGTAATTAGCCAAGTAGATTAGCACCCTATAGACTAACCACACAGAGACAACATATATGTGCACATACACATATGCATGCGTACACACAAAATTAGTTAAAGTGAGCTTCAGCCCATTAAAGCCTTGTGCTCTGTGTGCGTGTATTTACACACATGCACACACTTTGGTTTGTCTGTAAGGTGCAGATCTACCCTGCCTTCTACAAAGGACCATGTTAGTTGAGTGACCTTCTCTGACAGTGGACAGAAAACAGCCAAGAGAATGACATATTTTGCTACTGGAGGTGGAGCTTCTTGCTACTAAGGAAGGTCTCAGGTATCAAAGGACATACGGCTGCTGCTGGGTGAGGTGTTACTGGGACAGCTGCTCTCTGAAAGCACCGTTGTCTTCTTCTCCGTCACCTCGACTTTGGATGGAGATCTTGAAGGTGAATCTAGACCCAAGAAAGAAATGCATCAAGTCAGCAGTAGGAGGGACAGGACCTACCTGAAGTTGCCTGCCTTTGAAGCACAAACTTTGCCCATTACAGGCAAGTCTTTGGCACTGGGCCCATCAAAGCCTTTCCACCCAGCAGTGCGTAGAAGTGGGGAACCTTCTAGATCTCCATCCAACATGGAGCAAGTCATGTAGCATCCCAGACACTGGTCACATTGCACACTGGTCTCCTACGCAGTCCTGTGCAATGTGTGTCAGTGTTCCCACCTGGAACTGAAGCTAGGGAATGCTACCAAGCCAAAGTGGAAAGCATTTGGTTCTAGTCAGCACATGACAGTACTTAGTGCACAACGCTGACATGAGGAACACCACAGTTCAGCATCAGCCTTACTTCAGAGATGAGGAAATGGAAGCAGACAGACAAACTGATTTCCCCAGAGTCATACAGGAAGCCAGTAGCAGAGCAAGAATTGGCAAAAGCGGAGGCCCTGGGTGCCAAGTGTACTTTCCCAGTCACAGCATGATGCCAACAACAGAACAGCAGCATCGCCCAGTGCCAATAATCCCATTCCCACACCACAGGCTGCAGGCACCCTTCTCGTTATCTGTATGACGAGCACATATGCAAGGACTGCTGCATTTGACAGCTACAGAAGCTAACCACATGCTATAAGACTAAGCCTGGTGAAATTAAGAGCTGCTTTATTCTCTCACTACAGATACCAGCAATGTGTCTAAGAGCTGCATACTAAATCAGACCTTACCCAGCTTGCAGTCCACTTTGGGCCTGGACTGAATGGTGGTGACAGTGGTCACAATAGTGCCATCAGGCATGATGGTACGATCCATCTCAAACTTCTTGGTGGGGGTGATGCTGGTGCGGAGTGATGCAGTATGCTGGGTACTCAAGGATGCAGGGGACTCTTGGTAGAAAAACTTCAAGGAGAAGAGGATACAAAGGTGTCATGGTGAGCCACCCTCTGACCTCCGCCCAGGTACAAAGGCATTGGCTGGGATGCACAGGCCCCTCATAAGTAATAACAAAAGAAAATCCTACTGAGATCTTCAGAGGTTTGGGCTAGACATGGTGTAGTAATGAAGATGCATACTGCGTGACACTTTTTACTGGCCATCCCCAGGAGCAGCATGATTTTCTTCCTCAACGTTAGTCACAGAAGCAGCTTCTGCTAATCCTGCACTTTCTACATCTACCCAGAGTGAGCAGGGGGGTTCTAGACCCAAGTGCTGAAGGCCTACCTAGCATCACTGTTTAAGAGGCAACACCAACCCAGTGGGTCCATCAGGCCAGGAAGACAGAGGTCTCCAGTCACAAAGACCAGGCAGCCAGCACTGATCATTGTTCCTCCTTTAGTTACCATATTTACCCAAATCCAAGGTAACTTTGACTTTAACCCCCCTGCCCCCCCACACACACCCCCCTCAAGTAATTAGACTCTACACATGGAAATTAATAATGTTGTTATAATTTACCATGTATAGAATCTAATTAGTGGAGGGTTGTCTCCCCATACCTGCCCCCTGCCTCCCACCCTACCCCATTCCCCTGTCATGTGCCTGTGCCCCTGCTACCTGCCCTCCCCACCTCATAATGCCTGAGCCCCTCATCCCCCCCCTGCTGTCTGCCCCACATCGTTTACCCTCAGTTCAGGACTCTAGACCACACCAAAGTGGGGAGCAGTGGGGAGCAGCAGCTGCAGCCCAGGCCTTGGTCCTGAGACAGATTTGGAGCTAGGGTTGCCACCACCTTCACTGCCAGGCCAGAGCAGGACCAGAGCTGCACCTAAGCATACACAGCAGTGGCAGCACCTGTGACTGTGGCTCTAAGCCCAAACCAAACCTGGATCAGGGTCAGAATCAGAACCAGAGCAGCTGTCTGCCCCTAACTTTTACTCAAATCTAAGACCCACCCCCCCACAATATTGAAGGGGGGGGTGAAAACAAACCAAAAATCTTGTATTGGATTTAAGCAAATATATGGTTCTTACAGGAGGCTCAGGAGCACAGGAAAGAGCAGTGCCCCTTAGATACTAAGACATTTTCACCTCTAGCAATGCTGTTACTGCCACTAGAGCTTCCTATGCCACAACCCAAATTCCACCTCCTTACAAGGAGGTTCACCTCTTGCAACTCTTCTAGGGTAGGCACTCCACAGACCTTCCCAAGCCATAAGCTTACCTCCAACCTAAGGGTAGCAGCAGGTGCCAATGAATGTCCCACACCTGGGGTCAGTGAAAAGGCCTGCTTCCCAGAAGGCTGCTTGCTAAGGAGGTTAAGGAAGACTATGGCATGTCCAAGCAGCAGATCTGTGACAGGGAGAACAAGCATAAGCCAGATGCCTCCAAAACCTCCTTTTTAATCTCTGGGGATTCAACTTCCTGCTCCAACAAGGAACAGCCCCACAGCTGCAGCAGGCCATCTCCCATCACTGGAAGAGTCAATGGGACCATTCTGTGTGTGCTTGAGCCATGAATGAACTGCGCACCCCCAGTTCTGGAGATAAGTTCTGCAGGTTTCCATGCACTCGGGTCTTGCACTCAGGAATGAAGCCTTGAGCAGCTGGGCAGAAGCCTGGCAGCACTGCATCACACTCACTCACCTCCCTCCAGAACACGGCCCTTCTTCAGTCTTCTTTATTTGCAACCAGAATGCTATGCCATGGGCAACTTCCAGGTATCAGAGAAATTAGTAAGGAAAACATGTGTCCCACAACCCAGCTGACAGAGGTCACATCTGAAAACTGTCAGAGCTTTCACTACATCTAAACCCCAATGAAGTATCTTTTCCAGAGTTTATAACCCACATAGCATTTCAGTAAGGTACGAGATCCACAAACTAAAACAGAGCAGCTCAGGTCTCCCTGCCATCCCAGGAGGACTCCATGACCGTAACCCTTATAAGAATTTCAGGGGACCATTAGTGACACTGGGAAAGCCTATTCAACTCCACGGTTCTTCCCTGTGGGTCCCGTACTTACTTTCACCCCCGCTGCCGATCCTCAATACCTGGAGCTTTAACTCTTTGCTCTGTGGCCCCAGATCCCTGCCAAGATAGAAGCACTGGATTAGGCACATGCTGAAAGGCTTGTTTCTAGTTCTCCCACATTCCTCTCCTCCCCTCCTGCCAACCCTATTGCTAAATCATTGCCACACATTTCCTAGATTCCATTTCAGGGTGGTTGTAAATGGGAGAGGGGAACGGGGGATGAGGGACTCAAGCTCCCAGTACAGTGGACTTACAGAGCTGCAGTCAATCTGTGGGGAGGTGGAGATGGTGGGAGGAAGAGGGGAGTGGAGCTTGTACAACACAGTAATTTTTGGAGGTCAGGATCTAAATGCATAGTTGTAGTCAGGATCTAAATGCATAGCTGTAGGCAAAGTAGGGCAGAAGAAGACATGGAGAAGTTCTGCATATCCAAAAACTGGGGTGCATTTTAACAACTGCATTGGAGTCAATCATAGGAATGGATGGGACAGATTGACACGTAGAAAATACAAACTTGTCTCAATATAGTGGAGTTTACCTGTTGGCTATTTCCCTTAGCAACATGCCAGTCTAGTGAATTCTAGAGATCTAGCAGGTTTGCCTTCATCACTCCCACATTTTAAAGAAAAAAAAAAATTAAAGAACCCAAGAACAAAATACCATTTCCTTACAGTGCAAGCTCCTCATTCCATTCCACCTCTGCTCCTGCACTGACACTGCTGGCTCTCACGGGCTTTGTCCATTTCTGCTGCAAAGGACTGTCTAGCTCTGCCACAAAGCAAAATTCCCCACTTCCTGGCATGGGATAGAGAGATCAGATCAAAGGAAGAAAATAACTAAACCTGACAGAGCAAATCATCAACGTCTTGCATTAACGTGCGTGTGTGTCTAGCTCTAGTGACAAAGACGAGTCTCTCCCCATCCTCTGAAACCCTACACTTATACCCAGTAGGTAAACTGGTTTCTCTGTTCCCACCTTGCTTCTCCTCATGGCCCAAGCTGAGTGCTTGTGGGTTCCGGAGTAGCAGCTTGTGCATCACTGGGCTTGCCATGTTTGAGGAGGGTTCCCGAGACAGCTTAGCATTGGACATCTGAGGAAGAACAAGGAGCGTCATAACCTATTGTCATTCCTTGCACCTCTGAGACAACAGGTCTGGGGAAGGAGTCACCGCAGCTCAGAGAGGAGAAAGGAAAAGGACAACGCTGATTAAGAGGAAGGAGAACGGACTAAACCCAGCAGAACGCAACTGAAAGGTATGGCATGAATCCTAGCATCTCCCCAAGTTACCATTAATGACAACAGGCATGAGTGATGCAGAAAAGCTGCTCATTAAGCTGAAATGATCCAAAGCCTATTAATGTATGAAAGAGTTTACAGGCCAGTGACTACCTGAGCATTATTGTTTAAGACAGAGATGGCCAACCTGTGACACAAGCAGTCTCTTTGTGGCACATGGCAGACAGGCAGGGAGCAGAAAGCAGAGCAGCAAGAGAAAGGGGATCAGAGTGGCATTTTGGAAGGGTGCTTGGCTAATTTGTAGCATGCCTGCCAAAAAGGTTAGTCCCCTCTGGATTAAGAGGTCTGTAGTGAAGTAAGAAAGCAAACAGTAGAGAACAAGCATTGGCTGCAGGAGAGGAAGTGGAATGAGATATGCACCCAAACAGCACAATAAATATTATGCATCTCTAGGGTCTGCTTTGCACTCTCCCAAATCTGACCACTATAGGATTTGACTTCTGTGTAAACTGTCTAACGAACATCTGCAAGCACACAGAGATGAACAGAGGAATTGCAAGGCTAGACAAGACTCATAGCCCATACATTTTCCCCCACCTAAAAAGAAACAAAAAAACCCAAAAGAAGTGATCAACATCCAGTGCTGATACACCTTTGACTGTCCATCTGCCATCATGAATTGAAGGCCACATGCATTTGCACCCTTGGTTATATGGCAACAGGCATTACACACAGGTATATCTAATCCTGTTCAATTCTAGTCTTGCTCTCCACCTCAGCCATCTCACATGGATTGAATTCCAGTGCCTCATCAGGTTAAAAGTTGGGAAAGTCTTACCATATTGCCACCAACAGTACATGCCTTCAGATTCACCATCATGGCAGGCTGCGTGCTGAGAATGGAGTCCTCAATAAGATCCTTGATAGTAGATAGATCCACTTTCCCATCATTCTTTTGTCCAGCAAACCAAGAAGAAACAAATGAAAGATATGGAGAATGAAACATTCTTTATTAGGGCAAAGTATGCAGTCCTGAACTTATGCCAAAGTGACCTCAGCTCATCTAAGACAGGGTCACATAACCCTGAAAAATCCATCGTCTATTTTGCATTCCCTTTATCCCTCCTGGAAAAGGAAAGCCACCTGGCAACGCTGACTATGTATACAGCATACGGTAACCCATCAGAGGCTTCAGAGCTAGTGGGTCACAGGCAAGTCCTAACATCTTTCCCCCCTCCCCCAGTGATCTGCATTCACCCCAAAGTGTGATGGGAGAAGACTTGTCATAGCCATGCAAGGCAACCAATGACTATCCTGCTTCACTTAGTAGAAGACAGCTGGATTCCTGCAGCAACACAGAAAGAACAAGCCAGGGGACAGCAGGCTTCTCAGCACAGATACAAGGCACAAATAAGATATGTGGGATTGGAGGGACCAAGCTGTGGAGACAAAAATGTGCCCAAGTTCCATTCACTAAGTTATTAACACGGTGGGCTGCCTGTGTTAGCTTTTTTTCCCAAAAACTCTCCCAACCTCAGATCCAGCACTGAAAGCAGTTATGCGAGTACCTGTGTAACACAGATATGGTTTTTTTGTCATATCATCCAACTGCCTTGCTTAGAGCTCAGTAAAACAGCAGAAGCTACTGAAACCTTACCTACATTACCATTTACAGATTCAGTGAAGATACACCACTGTTAGCTTAAGGTCATAAAAACACACACAACTCCTTTCTCCAAGTTACAGCCGATATTGGGTTCCAGCCACCCCCATCCTTCCCATCTCAATCCACCCCATCCTCAGTTTACTCACTTCACGAGATTGAAATCGTGGAAGAACTGATAAGTTCAAGTCTGGTCTGTCTTGGAACATCCATGACACCACCAGGCCCTCATTTTGTATCTCTTCCAAATGGATCTCCACCTGGAGCAGGCCAAACGAGATAATTAGGAGCGCATAAAATTAATATTAGGTGTGTTACTCTGTCTGGAAGCTGCAGCTATGGCAGAACATGGTGGCCCATCTTCTGACAGGAGTGGGTTGCCAGAAGCATATAATTCCAGAGTCTGCATGGTCTCCCAGTAGCTTTCCAGGCAGAGTTTAAGGTTCTGATTTTGACGTAACAGGCCCCAAATAATCTGGGCCCTACTACCCAGGGTCTCCCTTATACCTCACTGCAATCCCTTAAGTTAGCCAAGAGCAACCTCCTACAAGTGCCATCAATATACCCAGTCTGTTTGGTGCAAGTGTGTGCAAAGGCACTCTCTACAACTGCCCCTCGCGGTTCTGGCACGCCCTCTATCTGGAGGCTTGCCGGAGCCTGAGCCCAAGCATCTCTCAGAAGAGCTTCCTATTTGGGCAGGCATTTGCCAAACAAAACCAGGCTGAGACATGGTAAGCTCCTTAGGTCCTCTTGTCACTCCCCTGTTTTTAATTCATTGTTTTCTTCTTGTAAGCCACCCTATGCCTTTGTTGGGAAAGGCAGGATACAAATCAAAAAAGATGGACAGAAGTGGGATTTAGTTACCAGCACGACCCAGTGTAACCAAGCTTTGCAGTAGGACTAAGAAAGCAAGGCTAAAAAAAAAAGCTATGACTGGTATCAATGCAATACTGTTTGCTTATTGTCCTTCAGCTTGGTACCCATAATAGCCCAGAGAAGTAAGAGCCCACAACAACAACAACAACAACTCCTACAAATGCACACACTCGCATCTACCGCCGACAGAGCCTGCCACGTGGTATAAAGGTTTCCAGCAGCTAGCCAGGATTCCTCACGTTTCTATAGCGTACAGAGATGAACAAGAGCATAACATTATACTATGGCACTTCAGCCCCTTGAACGTAAGGGTTGGAGATGTTTCCTCTAGTATCTTTAACCCAAAAAAATAGTGGATGCCAGGGAGAGTACTGAATAAGGGAGAGATCACTCTAGAGATACTCGGTTCGATGCTCTGCCTCTATAGCATCCACGTCTGCAATTGTCAAAGACAGGAAACTGGGCTAGATGGACTATTGGTCTGACCCAGCCTGGCACTTCTTATGTTCTTCATAAGAACTGATCATCAGACAGTCCAGAGGGTGACACAGTGAAGACTACATTCACTGTTAATCCAGACATCTGTTCAGCCCAGTCAACCAGTCAATTCCAACACAGATTTATAGGCCATTCTCCCTCTCTCAGCTTCTGCTGTGCACCATGAGGTTCCAGTGGCTGCCCCAGACCTGGAGAGAGATTCTTTTTCCCCAGGAAGATATCACCAGGGCTGGATTTCAGGATTTGGCTCTTAATTACCTCTACAACTGATGACAATGAAATGGTGCATGTAACAGTAAAGGAGAAAGAAATTACCATCTAACAGTTTTCAGTACTGACTTGCAGGTTGGGCACCTTTCGTGCAACATGGGAATGCAGACTCATTCATGAGAAGACAAGCACAAGTTCCTGATCCCAGGGTGAGAAGGTTCTTTGGGTAAGTGTGGTATCTTTTATTAGACCAATTAAATAGTTGTAAATTTTTCCAACTATTTAGTTGGTCTAATAAAAGATAATCACATTTACCCAAAGAAACTTGTTTGCCTATGTCCTTAGACCAACACGGCTATAACCAACACCCCTGATCCTCGGGCGGTCACTTTGTTTCTACCATGTAGAAGCAAATGTACGTCTGCAATTTATCCCTGCCAGCTCCAAATCAAAAGGTGTGCATAGCCAAAGAAGGAAAACAACTAGTTTAACAGAAGGACACTGTTGGTACCCACTAGCCATAAGTAAGTTTAGGCTGAAAGTGAGAACATTTCTAACCCTTACAGCAGCAAGGTTCTGGGATACTCTTCCAACTGGAACAGGTAAAAGGGAAGAGGGGGACAGATACTTTAGTAGTTTCAAGAGGGGACTTGATCCATTTGTGAAAGGGATTATAGGACATATGCCTATGATGGGGCCCAGGTCTCTTTCAGGCATAATGGTCCTTGGCCAGGACCAAGCATCTCTTGCCTCAGTTCTTTCTTCAAAAGAAATCTAAACCCTGACCTATCTCAGAAGTAAGCAAATACTCTGGTGGAAAGCTACTGAAGTTATTGTTTCTAAAAATAAAACTTATAGTATTAAAAGGTGGATTCCTGGAAGGAGTGATAAAAAAAAAAAAGTCAAGAGATATGAATTCTTATTATTTATTAAGGAACAAGGATCATCAGGAGCTAAACAGCTTATCAGTGCAAGTGGAAAACATCTAATTCCACTTTTAGTGCATAGGTTACCTGAGCCTGCAGCAAATCCAAAGTGACTTGATAGGTATCCATGGAAACAGCTGCTGGGGACTGCTGGGCAACAGAAACTGGGAACTTCACAGCATCAGCTGACAGATGGCAGTGCAACACCTAGACAGAAGAAAGGAGGCCGTCTCCATGAACGAATGCACAAGTCGTGGGCATACAAACACTGGGCCAACACATGAACCATAGCAACCTCACGAATTTGCTTCTTAAGCCACAGCAAGGGTTCAGTAAGGCTACATTAGCTCACAAGATCCATTTTGCTTTTGATTGTAGGATCCTGACGTTAAAAGCCAACAGTACTATCCAGGGCAACGATTAGTGCAAAGAGCAAGCCCCATGTAGACTTCTACAACTCAGCTCTATCACTGCCTCTCCCTCCTAACTTGAGAGAGCGCTCAGCTCTGCTGCCATGCCTCAGTCATGACCTGCAGGAACCACCACAGCTATTCCAGTCCCAAGTGGATCCCCTCACAGCTCATGCCTGACTGCAGCTCTGGGCCAGTGCTATAGGGCAAGGCAATCTTGGTAACGCAGACTAGCAGGTAAACGGAAAGAGATCATAGCGAGATCGAAGATGCAGAGCCTTACCATGCTGTGGTCCGACTGGTCTACGCAGGTCACGTGGCTTATATTTGCGGTTGGTGGTAGATGAGAACTCTCTTCAAACGTGATTTGCACTGAACTCTAGGGCAAGAGACTCCGGTTAGTTCCTAAGCAAGGGCAAAGCAGGTTTCAAACAGATCAGTAATTCCAACAAGAGGCCTCCAGAGCTCTTTTAGGGAACTCGCATATGAGTGCAGAGCTAACAGAGCAGCAGAGATATTCCAAACTACTGAAAGGTATGCCTTTCATGGTCTGCTTATGGCATTACCAGCCTGTGGTAATCTGAATGGAGCCTGAAGGATTCCAAAACTGAGCACAAGTCTGGTGACAGCAGGTTAAAGGAAATCCAAAGTCCTAGTAACTTGGCCTCAGCTATGATGTTACCAAACATAACACCTTTCAGACAGTGATATTTGAGCTCCTATGTACCTCCCCCACCCCGAGCCTCTCGCATGACAAAGTGGCTCCCATCAAAAAGCATGCACAAGACCATCCCTTCTGTTCTTTGCTTGTGCCTGCTGTGAATTCCCAGCAGGAAGCAGCCGGTGTTGAAGGCAGACAAAAACCACTGGTGTCATTTTTTCTTCGTGGAGCTATGATGCTCAGAAATGTCAAGTCAAACTTTCATTTTGAAATACAATTCCCCAGTTTTTTAATCTAACGATGAGCATTTCTTATTGCCAGCACTTGGCACTGAACAAAATACATTTCTTTTGTAAATGCTTCTCTTGCTTCTACCTTCTTTTCTCTCTGCAGAGTGAAACCAGACCTGCAACCCCTTTTTCCCCAGAAGTCTGGCTGGTAGTTAAGGCTTTGCCGAGCAGGGAGATGGAAGTGAGAACGGGCTGCCTAAGCCAAGGCTGTCCAGCTTCCAAACAGCTGGGGGCTGCATGCCCTGCAGGCCACACCAGGGCAGGCTCCGACCACACACCCCATGAAACCCGCCCCCACCTGCTGTGTGCGCCCACAAACCCCTCCACCACTGCTACACGGCACACCTTAGACCCGTGCCCCCATTCCCCACTGCACCGTATGCCGCAAGCTCACCCTCAGCCCTGCACACCTGAGGTGGAGAAGGAAGTGGCAAAGGAGAGTCGGGGAGCATAATAAAATTTTAAACAACTAAAAACAGAGCTTCTTCATGACAAGTGCCAGACAGCCTTTAGCACTGGGAAGGGTAGCACAAACCACAACAGTCAACTGTAGACATGTAGATAATGAACTTCTCTTCTCCTTGTCCTGGAACCCGAGTACAGAGAGATAGCCAAAACAGAGACGCAAAATTCAGAAGCAAAATGAGAAGCAGCTGTTGAACAGTGTAGTCAGGACCAAAGACAAATCTCTGGGTGTTATGGGCTAGACCAAGTTATTTAGAGAGCAGCTTATTCCAGCCCTCTCTTCCCCCGTTTGCCTGTCAAAGGGTTCCCCAGATCTTTCTTGGAGGCATCTCACGCTAGCTGGCACCTAAAGCAAGATACTAGTGTAGATGGATTGCAAGTCTGATTCTGTATGGTTAGTCTTCTACCTTCTCATGCTCATCATATTTTGCAATACAGAGAGGTGCACATAGCCTGGCCTGAACATCCAGGCCTCAGTTATACTTGTGAAATTCATTGAGAGTGAAGAAAAGTTGTACAGACAGTGGTGCTAAAAAGCAAGACTGATCGCTTGCACAGGAACAGCCTTATAAACACAAGACAGGAATTCACTAACACTTAAGCTATAATTCTGCCTCCGTTACTGATCACTAGCAAGTCACTCCTTCTTGCCCATTTCCAAGTCTACAAGCTGAAAATAATAGACTATTTCCTTGTAGTAACATTGGAGGAGGATTAGTAAACAGCCTTTGAAAATTGAAGTTACATCAATACTAAGAGTTAAAATCAAAAGAGAAGGAAAGCTATGCAACTAAACAAGGACCAGTGGGGACGTTTTCCTCCTACTGCCAGTTTTCTTAGCCTGAATGCCTCACTGTTGATCAAACCCACTTAACAAGCACTACATAGCCAAGATGGATCCTCTAGTGTCCCGACTGTTCAATGCACTTGTAAAAATATACACAGCTACTGTACTGCCCTTTCTGCAGTAATTCCACTGTCAAATTCTAGTTTTTCATAGACACACACACATTATGGTTCTTCAGCAGGCACTGCTAAAAGGGAAAAACTCTGATAGCAGTAAAAAAAGCAGCTAAAAATAACTATCCAGAAGAACATTAGGATTTTCGCCTCTAGCTGAAATCTCCAAGTCCTCTTGGGGCCTAGAAAGGAGAACAGGAGGGGTGGTCTTGCTATATGGCTATCATCTGTAACGAGAACAGGCTCAGACTCCAATCACTCTTGCCTATCAGATGCAAGACTAAAGTTTGAAGTTGGTATGGATTGCAGGGGGAGTAAAAAGCTCCTTATAAAATTTCTCTCTGATGGAATTGCCATCAGGCCTAATCCAATTAAAGGAAAAAACAGCAACACATAGCTGAGTAATACATTCTGACTTATCGAAACCCGCTCTTTGCAACAACTGCATTGGCAAAGACAAGGCATAGGGCAAACTGCTCAGCCCTGGGCTGTTGCTTATTAAAAAATTTGGGGAAAATTTGCCTTTACTTTTTTGAATTTTAGTCTTGCATGTGTCCATCTTAACTGGAAAGGTATAAGAACTACAGAACAACAGCTGTCATGTTAATCTCTTCCCATGCCCTCAACCTTAACATATCAAAATGGATATCAGTCATATACACTGGATCCTCATCTTGCCAACTGCTGAAAAAAGTTGAAATTCTGCAAGAAAGGGGAGCACAAACAGACTTCTATCCCACTGCCACCATATTACACTGTGGGGGGGGATGGAACACACGCAGCAGGAACATGCTGGAGGCAGCTGATACATTTACATCTTCCACATATTTGATGCTTCTCAGCAGACCCATGAGGTAATAAGCTGCTACCATGTCCTCATTAACAAAAAGGAGAAAGACATTGAAGAAATTAAATTATTTGCTCAACTTCCCATAGCACATGAGGGATGCAGTCCAGATTGAAGCCTAGGGGCACGTGTATTCTGATCCCATACTGGCTCTGAGAGCACGCTGTTATCCAAAAGTCTCCCCTTAAAGACAGTGAACCTCATCAAGTCGCTTGGATTAAAAACAGCAAATTAAAAAAAATCAATCATGTTCTAAAGGTTTTAATCAGTGTTTAGTCGCATGCAGCTACTTCCTCACTTTCTTCCCATTTTGGCACTCAGAAATTCAAAGGATTTTTTTTTGAGCTGCTGAAACTCTTAAGTCTCTTCTCATCGTGGACAAGGATTTGGGTTTAGAAATAAGGAAGTTTGTCACTAAAAGAAAGGTTATTAGAAATTCAATTTTACCCCCACACGCAAACACTGGAAACAAGTTCCAGGATGAGGACTTAAACTCTAAGGCAAGACTGTCCAACTGCCAGCCCATGGGGCCACATGTGGCCCACGAGGGGATAATTTCTCAGCCCAGCACTGTTCCCCTCCATCAATCCAGCTACAACAGCAGCCAAATTCTCCAAGGTCCCCATCCTAAGAGCATCAGGGCATACTGCAGGAAGCCAAGGGAGAGGGTGACTCCAGGCAAGGTGAGGAGAGGGGAAACCTGCGGCTACACAGGAAGGGTGGGTGGGAGAAGGGAATCATGCCTGCATGGGACAGCAAGAAGGGGAGGAGGCAACCCAGTGCTTTGGGGGCAACCCGCGCAATGAAGCACCACGTCAGGAGATGTAGTGAAGGGGAGCCCACATACCACTTGGCCCAGTGGCCCATGGCTCTCCTGGCATGGCCTGGGCAATACATGAGCCCCAGGGCCTTAGAAGCTGTACAGCCCTACTGTAAAGGAATTGGCATACAGACACAGAACCAGTGACAGCCAAGCATGTTCTACAAGGAGAGGGGGCATCAGATGAACAACAGCAAAGCTTCTGTACCCTACCACTGCTCCCTGCACCCCTACAGGCTGGATGGCCCACGTCCCGTCCCTCTGAGGGCCAGATCCTGCCAGTGGGACCAATCTGGTGCCTGGCGTGGGCACAACAGGGCCTGATCCAGCCTCTGGTGAGGAGGGAAGGGGGTGCAGGGAGCAGCCCAGCTCTGATCCAGCTGTGTCAGCTCGAGGGGCATGGCCCAGCCCCAACCTAGACCTACAGGGGAGGGAACGTGACCCAGCCCCAATCCAGCTGCATGCAGCTTGAGAAATAATGTCCCTGCTGCCTAATATCCCAACTCAGGGAAAGCCTCGCTGGCTGGATGCCAAGGCTCTGCAGTCTGGATTTGGCTAGTGGACTAGAGGACTTTTCCTTCCTATGCAAGAAAATGTAAGCAGGTCTTTAAAAATTCACTGTGTCAGGTCTTATCCAACTCCATACATAAGTCCCAATTCTACCCACCAGGTCCCACTGGACAGAGCAGCACAGAGCCAGATTTAGCTACATGTGCTTCCTTCTCTCTCGTGATCTCCATGGCTCCCGCTAGGAGGGCAATCAGCAGCAGATATGCTTTGCCTTGGAACACAGGCAAGCATTTTTGGTACCATGCAAGATGTTCCATCACTTGAATCTAGCAGTAGTCTAGATTAGACCCAAACAGCCCTTCCCACATGCACTCTCACATAACAGGATGTGGTGGAAGGCCTCTCAGCTTCTGCTTCTCAACATCAAGAAGTCCCTTATGTCTGCCAAAGCCATCACAAAGTTCCCTTTCTTTGACAGGCTGTGGAGCCTCATCCTTTGTTTACCCCCAAGAGGTGCAACGTGGAGAGCAGCAAACCAAGCTTCCTCCACCACATCTTTGGAGAGGGGAGTGCGGTTTCTAAAGCCCAGTGCACATTAACCACCTCCGAGTCAACAAGAGGAGAGTTAATGCCATTTGCTTTGTGCTTTTATAAGGATGCCTGTCGTAGACTGATGCAACACTACCCATGCCCAATCCACCCGTAAAATCTAAGGCCACGGCAAATTTATATTTGCAAAAACTTATTTGGAGGAGGATAGATGAAAGTAGAGGGCTTTCTGTTGGACATAACTGCCTCAAGCAAGATACTGATCACAAATGTTCTCCTTTCCCTTTATGGCACCGAGGCACTGTTGGTTAACAGATGTATAAAGCAATAGTTGGAACCGGTGCTGAGCTATGAGTATGTATGCACAGAAGGGAAAGAGATGGATTTCTGCTGTGCCATGGGCAATAAAAGTCTCATCTGTGCTAATATTTTTGCTTGGAGCAGATGGTGGAGTGAATCTAATATTCTTTTTTCTGAAGCAGAGAGGAGATTTTGAGACTAGTGACCATTATCAGTGGGCTGGGGTGGTATAGGTACTAAGGCACGTGGTTGACAGCCCGGAGGTCACAAGTTCAAGGCCACAACAGAAGTGCTCCCGGTGCCGCCCTGTCAGATTCCAGCAAGTCTGTGAATTCTGCTAAATAGCTCATTGCAAAGGACACGAAGGAAGAAGCATTGCCAGTCACCCTAGGCTACTTTTGGGAAGCATCCCAGAGAATGCTCATGAAGCTGTTGCTATAAAGCACGTTGACTTATGCACCTCTATCACCAACACTACTCCATCTACTGTTCCCTCCACCGTGTCTTTTTCTACACTATTCCCTGCACCATGAATGCCTTATTATTCTACTTCACCACCTTCCTCATAACTCTCCTTTCCAAGTTCTTCCTTTTGTAATGCCCGTATTTTGCAAGTTCCTCCACCATACACACACAGTGAAGAAAGCAGCATACTCCAAATCTGCATTTGTAGCAAGCTTCACAAATTTGACCAGCTCTCCCTTTTAAGAATCATTTTGGCATTCAGAAATAGTACTATTTAAGAAATAGTACGCACCTGTAAAAAGGGACCATGTCATTCAGCTGAGGGACAGTAATGAATCTGACCAACTGCATGGGGCTTTACATTGGGCGAGCAGCAGGGGAGAGACTCTTGATCACCTGACATCTTAAAGCATCAAATTATTTCTTGTTTATCTTCACCAGTATCTCTATAAAGGTTTTGACTTCTATCATCAGTAATCTCACCCTGTTTACACACAGCCATGCAATGTGACCAAGACATTACAATCAACAGAGAATTCTACAAGTTATACATATGCCGTATATAGAGCAGCATCTAAATCTACCTGCTAGTAATTTCATTAGCCTGCCCCTCCCATTCTTGTTCTCAGTTTACTGGGTGGGGCAATGTAAGGACCAGCCAGTATAATGATAGGAGAGGTCTATTTAGCTAGGGAAGAGGCTGAGTCAAGGTTTTTGGACCCAGAAATACAGCTATGTTTAACGGATATTGGGGGGGGGGTTCTACCTAACCTGCAGCAATATCAGAACACAAAACTCATCTTAAAGAATGCAGACAGCAGAAAGAAGTTCCAGTGATCTGTGAGTTACTGAGAAAAACTGACTTACAGACAAGAAGAGCTACATGGGATTCTATACAACTCAGCACAAAGTAGGTAGAAGATGAGTAGGTCATCCAGGTTATTCAAAAATTGTTTTCAAACAACCATATCATCAGCTATTTTAACTTCAGACCAGATAAGGCACAACCAATAATGCAAGCTTCCCTCTAACTGCATCTGCCATTGTGAGATGCCACACCAGGGCCTTGCGGGAATAACTTCGCTGTGGGGGCCAGAGCTCTTTCCCCTGGCTCAGCTAGGTTCCAGGCGTGGATGGCAAGGACACCGCAATGTTATGTTAAAACTGGCAAGCTTAGACTAGTCTCCTAAAGCATTCAAAAAAGGGGAGAGCTGGTCAAATTATTCAAACAAAAGGTGTGACTTTCCTTTTTCAAATGGAAGACTCCCTGTTTTCTCTATTAATCATTGTGTGCACACACGTTATGATAAATATTAAGACACTAACAAGACTCAGCAACAGCAGCAATTGCTTTTAGAGAACAGGATCAACTCCAGGTGGACAGACACTTTCACGGATATCCCTATTTTTGTCAAAGTAACAAACGCTTGGTCAAAGCCCATCTTCTCCATAAAACTGTTCAAGTTTTGCACCTGATGCTATTATTCAGTTTTACATATAACCCAGCCTTAAACTACCTGTGAAGATCTCCTCCTTTCACACAGTACAAACTGCACTTAACTAAGAAAATATCATTGCCAATACAGGATGCCGGCTGTTTATTTTAGATTGAAAATGTTACCAAGGTGTGCCAAAAGACAATGGTGATTTTGTTTGCTGTTGCTTGTTTAAACAAGAGGATTTTCACTTGCCGTGGGCAACAGAACAAAAAATGCAGGTAGTTTGATATCTTTGACTGGACTGGCTTTATTAGTTAACCTGAGGAATTTTGTGCCCCAAAGTTTGTCTGACATGTTCCCCCAACTATGAAGTTCATCCAATAAAAGCTAAGTACACAAACTGTGCTGCTCTCATTTTCCCTGAACCATCACTCCAACAGCATAGACAGTAATGGCACCTAAGCACAAGCCTGCTTGTCAGTAGCTACACATTACATAAGTGTTCACTTGGACAATAAGGCTTTTTTCCCCTGTTTTGGTGAACTACTAATTAAGCCACCTTAGAGAACTAAAACTCACTCTATAGTAAGTTTTTAACTTACTGTTTGTAGCTCACAGTAGAGGGGCCCCAAAACTTCATGACACACCGAATGAATTTAAGACATTTCTCCTTTCTAAAGCCAAATAAAGTAATGAACACTCTTACTTGAAAATTCAAACTGTACATGGCAGTTATTTGATTGACAGGCACACCGTTGTCATCAAATCAAAAGCAGGTTTAATCCCAACTTTTAACATACAAAAGAATCCAGCTACATTTGCAGAAGCACTCCTTGATGAGGTTGGTGCGCGTCCATCTTTCCAGTTTACAACTGAGGGACTGTTTTCCCCACTTGTCTCTTGAATGCCACTGAGATTAGGGAGTTTCATACAAAGGACAACCAGAAATGCATCTGACCTTAAAATAAGCCAGACAAGAAAAGTGAAGAGGCAATTCCAGGCCCAAGCCAGCCACTGCAAGTAACTGCTTTGGATTTTCCTTCCGCACCCCCCTCCCCCTCCCCCCATTTTCAGGGCCAAACTAGTTCCAAATGGAATTCTAAATTTCAACTGAGCAGAACTCAGTCATTCAAATCTGTGTGACACTACCACTGGCAGGTATCTTAACTCTCAACTACCACAGTCTTGGGCTTTATAGACTCCCAAATACATGGCAGGCCTCATCTATGCAAGCCCCAAGGCCAGAGACCTTAGAGTTCAGATGCCCCGTAGTCTCACTTGCCCCTAGCCAAAACAGTGAAGGAGCAAGCTAGGGGGCAAGTCCGAAGGCAATCCCCCATTGCCACACATTGCACAGCCGAGACCCTCGCATTTGGAGGCATCTGTAGACTCTTGCCAGGGTCAGCCTGCCCACAGTGCAAGGGACAGGTCTTCACCCTCTAACTACTCTTAAGTCCATTCAAGACCAAGATGACAGTATCTTCCCTGCCACTGCTTCGCTTCTACTTGCCAATATGGATTGCCCCCTCCGAGTTCAAAATGTGAAGGAATCGGAGTGCCTGAGGCAGGCTAATTGGCTATACAGTCACTGTGGGCCTACACCCACAAGGAAAGTACAAGTTTCCCTTTCAATGGTTAGGAGGCCATGGAAGGTATAACAACTAAAGGGCTGGGATAAAGCATGATAGAACAGGAGCAGAAGTGCAGGTCCAAGGTCAGTTACTAGGGTGCCGGGGGAAAAAACAGTGACAGGAGTGGCACTTTAGCATTATCATGTCTGACATTCCAGCTTCCTCATTCAAGCAAAACACCTTCCGAATTACTGTATTTACCTGAATCCAAAAAGACCTGATATTTAAGACAGCCCCTCAATAATTAGATTATGGACATGGAAACATTTATAAATTGGTTATAGTTTTCCACGTACAGAATTTAATTATTAGAAGGTGGTCTTAAATTTGCACCCTTCCCCACCACTGCTCCAGTGAGGTAAGCAGTGGCAGAGGAGAGACAGTGGGGGAGGAAAAAGGTGGGGCTTGAACAACAACCCCCCCAGCCCACTGCCTGATGATAGCTTGTGTAGCTGGGATGAGTGATACCCAGAGTCAAATGCCAATTCACACAACATGGTTATCTAATGCAAGATCAGTCCTACTTCTACTTGTCAAGCTTGTTAAACCTCAGCTCATTTGGCCAAACTGTAAAAGGTGCCAAGTAATCCTCTCTGTAATTTAACTGCCTGTAGGATAGTCATTTAAATTACTCCCGATAACGTTTCCTCCAGGAAAACAGGTGCCACTTTTGCGTAGCTCTGGCATATTTTATATATAAATTTAAAGCGCCAAGCATTTTTTCCAGTTTACCTTTCATTTCACCATCTTCTCACACACTTCCTAAGTGTTGCAATTCAACAGTTTGTTCACCGCTAGAGAAGTGTTTCCCTAAAGATAGTGGAACGGCATTGCACAGCACTGTGTAAACAAGGCGTGGTTGCAAGACTGGTGTTTCTCTCTCTGCCTGATGTGCTCGGCCTTCCTGCAAGGTCCGCTTTGGGCATCTCATCATCACAGTGCATTCATCACCTGGGGCTTGCCTAGAGTGAAGCTGTTAACTGCAGGAACATGCTGGAAAGTTACCTGCTTTACGTAGGGACCCCACCGTAAAAGCGCACGTGAGCCTCTAGGGCAGGAGAGCCTGGTGATCAGGATGGACTTGTGCCCTCCAGCCACAGCCTGGGGCTTTCCTGCTGGGCACAGCCGTGCCCGAGCCCGAGCCCTCTGCGCACGCACACCTTTCAGACCCATTTCCTCCTCTCACTTTAACACGGG